CGGGCAAAATAAACACAATTACGAGTGCAACCTCAACAGCACCGGAAGAAAAACGAGCAAAAAATGGCTGTGAAGACAGCCGAGAGAGCAAAAAATTAATGGCTGTGAAAACAGTTGAGAGAGCAAAAAAAAGGCTGAGAGCAAAAATGGCTGTGAAAACAGTCTAGTACGGAGCCTCGGGAGGGAGGTTTAACCGATGCTGCTCATGGCAACCGCAAATCGGGCCGAGTCATTTGCATCTGAGGGCACGCGGTGCCGATGGCCTCGCAGACTGGCAACAGCCGCACGGATGAGGGCAAAGCTGAGCTTACATCGGATGTAGGACATTGTGGCAGCGTACGGCTCCTGCTTCTTGTCGGCGAGCATCGATGCCAGCCGAGCATAGAGTGCTGTCGCAGCTTTGCCATACCCTCCAGTGCAGGACAAGACAACTGGTGAGAAGGAGGCGTGCTCGACGTTGGTGATCCGTTCCTCGTAGCGGCGACGCTTCTCCTGCTCATGTCGCTTGTACACAGCGGGCAAGGCAAACTTGGCGTTGGTGGGGGCGTGGGGGTTGAAAACCCGGACATCAAAGTACGAACGCTCGTACCGTCCTCCCCAGACTCCACTGGCACCGATGTCTAGGCGGGCGTTCTCTTCAGTTGAAGCTGACCGTAGCGTCATCCTCTCACCTGTCAGCGGCTCTAGCAGCGGTTCCACCACAACTTCGTGCGCAACTTCCTTCAAATTGAAAATACACGTTCTGCAGACTGCGCACAAAAATCGAATTGAAATTTGGCGTGTCGAGTCGCATAAGTCATCAACCGGTTGTCGTATCGCTTATTATTATTTATACCCAGCTCATATTAACCCCCACTAATTCCTGTGATCTATAACTGGTGAATATATCTCCATATTCACTCACCACTTTAAGTTGGGGTATATACTTCGCTATATTAGAGAGGTTCTGCAAAACGAAAATGTGTACGAACTTTCGCTCTACGTCACAAAGTGAGAAACTTCGCACGAACTTTCCCTCTACGTCACAAAGTGAGAAACTTCGCACGAACTTTCACAACTTTGGACGCGAAACTTGCAGGGAACGCGAAATGAACTTTCGTAGGAAGTTTCGTGAGATCGGATCATGGCGTACGTGCCCTTGGCGCATGCAAACTACGAAAATGTGCAGAACACAAAGTTCGTGCGAAAATTCGTACACATTTTCGCAAGGCCTGTCCCGAAACTTCGTTCGAATTTTCGTTCTGCAGAACCTCTCTATTACCCACTTTAATAGAGGCTGTAACTTTACAACTTTCAAGGGACTTGGAAATTTTCTCTCCAATTGAAAAAGACAAAGATTGCAGAGAAGAAAGAAGTCTCAGCAGGAATCGAACCTGCAACCATAAGATTCCCAAGCACCTATATTGACCACCCAGCCACCAGGGTGTTGATGCAGATGTTGGTTGAAAGATAGGTCTTAGCTCTGGAACACGCAATGCTACCTACACATAATAGTATACTATAGTATACTGGGATACTAAAATAGCTATTTCGGACCAGTATTTCAGGCCAAAAACGAAGCTAGGTATAAATAGAATAAACACCTCTGTCTTGTGTTTGTGGGAATATAAACACTGTCTATAAAAACCTCGGCTACGCATCGGTTTGTCCAAGGAAGGGTTCCTACTTTTTTCGGTCCTCCTCGTCGCTGCTCTCGGCCTGGGCAGCACGACAGCCTGTGTGGTTCAAATCAGACGCCGTTCTTTGCAAGAATTTATTTTGAACGACGACGACGCGTACAGTACATGTACTTGCAAATCTCCACGGCGCGCTGGATACTCCGAGCGAGGAGCTGGAGGTACGGGAGCTGCCATCTCAGCTTGATGAACGATCCCTGAGGTGAGCAATCTTGGCCGTTCAGCAAAATGGAGCTGATTCCGAGTAGCCGATTACTTTCTTGTGGCTTGCGCTGCTCTTGCCTGCACAGCGTTACCAGATAATCTATTTTGATCCGGCGCTGTATCAATCAGAATCACCCACCTGTCGCTCTTGAAATCCACTCGAACTCTAGCTAGACCTTTCAGGTACTAGCAAACTAACTTGCTAACCAAAATTGGGATGAAATGGGCTGCCAAGCAAGCATTGGCGACATATAAACAAAGCTGAAAGATAAGCGACAATATCGCTGACGCGGACCAAGTAGCAGTGTTTATATTTCCATAAACACTACGACATCGGTGTTTATTCTATACATAAACACAAGACAGAGTTGTTTATTCTATACTTCTTCCACTCCAAATTGAAAAAAAAAAAAATTGGAGGTATTACACTAACTCACCGGACTTATCATAGCCAAAGGTAAGCAGCACGGAATAATATATGGAAAAAGTAAGGTAGAGAGAGAGGAAGGGAGAAAGGCGCATGTACCATCACAGGCATTAAAGCCCAAAGGTATCATGACAACAGGTATTGCAGAAAGGACATCAGAAATTGGCGAAAAATTAGAATGGCCATCGAGCCAAGGATAGCAGCCTGCTGCAGCTCACGAAGGTGCCGCTCTTCTCCACATAGCTGCTTAATTGAGGTAGCCGCTTGTCAGGCCACCAAGAGCACCAACTATGATGGGCACTATGGACACTGCCTCTCGCTGCCAAATCTGCCCAATTTGCACTGCGAGGGGCAAGTACTTCGCTCTCTTCTCAGCATGTTTTAGTGCTACTCTATGATCCAGTGGCACACTGACATCAATAAGTTGGACTGACTTGCCATCGTCCCACACAAGATCCAGCCGATTTGCTCCAACCATCCTATCTGTCGGGATTGGCATTTCCCACATTAACTTACGGCCTTCACTATCCTCGACGTAGTGTGGCAAGTGGCCAGGGGGAGCAGGAGATACCAGTTTGTAGCGATGACAGAGTGCCCGGTGGACTACAGCGGCAAGACAATTATGGCGAGTAATGTATGCCGTCCGTGCCAACATGGGGCAGCATGCCAAAATATGGTCAACAGTCTCCCCGGACCTCTGCACTAGCGGCACACGTCCACCACGGAAGTGTCGCCAATAACCGATCTCTGGTAGTTCCTGGTATTAACCAACTGATCCTGAGCAGGAAATACGGATGACTCAGTGGATGGATGCAATGTTGGAGACTTTAAGAAGTTGAACGAGAGAGGCATGTCCAATACACTGCCACTCCTCTGCCAATAGCGACCATGCAGGGGCTTCTGCCGCAGAGAAGCTTGGGTGGTGGTTCTGATAGCAGACTTAACAACGTCAGTTGTTGCACCTCCGATGTCCAGGATGTTGAAGCGCTCCATTGCCGTGGCCGCCCGGGAGATGGTCGATTTTGTTGGCGGAAGATTTTCATGATGAGCATGCAGCGCAGCAATCAGCGGCAGGTCAGAGTGCGCCTGGAGATACCTAGACAGGCGGATGTATTTCCTCTACAGCAGGTGCTCAACCGATACAATCCCTCGGCCGCCCTCAGATCTCGGCAGGTGAAAGTGGATGGTGGAAGATCGTGGGTGGTGTGCTCCCACTGCACGGAGATATTATTATTATTATTATTATCATTCAAACAGTATTTTGGAGGCGGTGGGAAAAACAGTTTCGTAATACGTATTCGCATGCAACGACGCAAATCCACACAATTCAGTAGATACTTTTTCTATCAAACATTTTCTTTCCCTTCTCATTATTATCATTATTATTATTATTCAAAGGATCACTTGGGGAAGTGAACTGCCTGAAAAGAGAAAAAATCGCCAGACCCACAAGAACTCAAACTTGGGACCCTGCTTGTGATGAGCATTGCTCTAACCACTGAGCTATGGGACCAGGCCGAACCTAGAAGGCGCTGACAAGTTTTTGCTCATGACAAGCAGGGTCCCAGGTTTGAGTACTGGTGGGTCTGGCGATTTTTTTCTCTTTTCAGGCAGTTCACTTCCCCAACTGATCCTTTGTATTCGAAGTTTTCCCAATCCGTTCAAAAATTATTATTTTTATTTATTATTATTATTATAATTTGCCTCTCCGCGTGTTGCATCAGGGTGTGGTACTACAAAAATCAACAAATCGACATAATACACATCCACCCCTAGCACTCGCTCAGGCCGCTCAGCAAGTCAGAAGACAGTAAGGACAAGAGAAAGTGAGGGAAGGGGCACAGAGCAGCGGGGGCGAAGGAAGGAAAAAAGAAACAGGAGGCAAAGAATATGGAAGAAATATATCAGATAGTCCATTAAATTCACTTCATACATCATGTCATGTTCCATTTGGGCAAATCCGGGCATTCATCTGCAGGCTCAGGTGCGGAAAAGCTGCCGCCATACTGCTCTGTCCTGTGCCAGGTCCCTGATATGTGAAAAATCTTTATCCGTCTGCAGCTTCATTCCCTTTGATGCGAGGTCTGTTCTCAGTGTTGTTGGGAGTGTGGAAGGCGGCCGGCCATGGAATTTTTTCTCGTCCTTTGTTTGCCGGAAGTAGGGTGTCATGGTCATTTGTGCTGAGGACTCCTGGTCTAGTCTGCATATGTGACCGAGTAGTCGCATCCGAGCAGCTTTTATCAGGACAGTTAGTGGCTGTGTCTCTGTTCTGCGGTGGAGGTCATCGTTGCTCATTATCTGTGGGTAGTGGATACCCACAACGACTCTCAGGTGTCTCCGATATGTCGAGTCAAGAGTACATAACTGAGAGTCTGAGAGGCCCCATGTGCCAGCATTGTACATGCTTTGGGGTTGTTTCTATACAAAGCTCGGAGTTTTCCCTTGCAGATACATGGTTCAATTGTGAGAATCAAACATGGATTGACTGAGGTATGATAATTTAAACGAGCCACTAGGGACTCAATACGGACCCACAACTATGAGATGCAGGTTCATTGTACAACATCGTGCTAGTACGACGGGCGTGGGACACGCAACTCGTTTGCGTCGTACTAGTGCGACGCTCACGCTAAAGAGGTTAAGTGCTTAGAACCCGGGTCTACCTCAGCAATTAAACCAGTCATTGTTCTTACGTTTTACACAGATGACGGAAACAGGTTCAACAGCCAGTGTTGCTCTCGACAGTAAACCAAGGTGACCCACTGTATGACCGTAAGTTTGAAAGTTAACGGTCCATCTGCCAGAGATCCAAGCTGGTCTTATTCCACGTTCTGTGATAAACCGGAAAAGGCAGTCCTGCGAATATTTCTCTGGCAGGGCCATGCCTTTCGCGGAACATTGTGCTTGAGACGAAGACTGAGTGTAGTGAGTAGAGCTTGGCTTGAGAAGGTATAGGTCGTAATAATCACCACATTCATACTTCACTTCATTCCAAGTGCGCTCTGCACAGAGATGAACACAGTGAATCGAAACATACCACCAAAAAGAATGTGTTACGACAAGGTCAAGGGTCATGAACTCGGATGTTGAGCCAAAGATAACACGGATAAAAAGAAAGGACAACATGTCACGAGTTATGACTAACTGTCCACCAAAACGTCGAATGTCTCAGTACTCCTTGTCAGTTCGTGCCTTTTTGTCGCACTCGTTGCCTGTATATGATCTAGTTACGTTGGTGAACAGTTAATCATAATTCGTAACATTTTGACCTTTTTTGCCTGAAGTGTGTCCTTTTTATGAGTATTGTCGAATTTTGTCCTTTATGTATATTAGTATATTATTGTATATTATGCAGGTTGATGCCAACGCGAACAAGCAAAATAATAATAATAATAATATGTATATTAGTGCTGATGTCCAGTCAGAAATTTCCAGTTTGTAGCCTAACCGGCACATGCAGTTGCTTCTGACGAGGGAGGGGTGAATTCCCCAAAACACTGAGCAGGGAGTGGTGATTTCTTGCAGGTTTGCGCAGTGGACGGTTCGACGGACTTCTCGTGTGAGTCAGTCAAGTGAGAGTTCAAGTCGGCAGGAATAGTGCAAGCTCCCACGTAGAGAGCACACACAACTCCCCTGCAGTCCATTTCAAAACTATAGACGCGTAGTGTTTTGCAAAATTCGATGGGATTTATTTAAATATTTTCAGTTTTTTCTCCAGATCCCGTCTCTGCATCGCTTCACAATTCTGGCTATATACTTTTTTTTCGCTACAATTGAAGTTTATTTTAAGGACAGGTTTTCCGGTTTTACATGTAATTTCTGTTTTGAAGGGTTTGACCAGTTTGTTTCGGATTTTTGCTCCTGCTGAGACAGTGCTGCGCCCAGACCATCGCGGGTGCATTTTTGTACGTGTCCTGGTAGCCTCGTGGTTTCGATCCGTGATTTCCAGTACAAGTGTGGGGCATTCGAATCTAATCACGCCTCCTGCCTTTTTTTCTCTTCTTTTCTGGATGTTTTGGATCTTGTTGGGTGAAATACAGTAGAGATGATAATTATTTTCTCTTTTTGATTTGATTTGAGCTTCCCTGTTCCCTTCGCCTGACACAACGAGTGACAGTGGTTTCACTCACGCCAGTTGCAAGGTGAGTTCGACGACGAGGATTTCGGATACTCGAGCGTCAATCAAAATCCAGCTCTTGTTCGAAGAAACAATGAACACGACTAATCATATCTTTCTCGGCATCACTGAGATTCTTACGGGCTTTGGAAGCCATTACAGTCGGGCACTCAGAAAATGCAAACAAGAAGAAGATTCATTTGAGGCTTTCATTTCTTTTGAGACTTTCCTCACACCTTTTCATTTGCGACTTCCCGCGGCGACGAAGAAACACCTGAAAACACATCTGAAAACCAGAAAACACTCATGCAAAACTCACGGCTGCCGTGCGCTACAGCACGTGCGGCTCGTACGTATGAGTTCACGCGTCTATAGTTTTGAAATGGACTGTAGTATTGCCGAAATCAAGAGTCCATAAACCAGAGTGTGCAACTGTGCATATCAGATCTGAAACAGCGCAGTTCGTGCACTACGTCACCCTGATGAGGTCAGCCAAGCCGCGACTTTCGTACAGCTCAAATTTTCGTGGTTCTAAGGCCCGGAAATCAGCCAAGTTTGCTTGATTTCAGACGTCCTGTTTCAGGATCTCGGTGTTTTTGTGTGACTGTGTACATCCACCGGCAAGTAAATTCACCAGGCCATCTGTATCAAAAAACCGAAATCGGAACGAACTCAGTGACCTGCACCACCATGACTGGTTACGCAACTTTTCATCGTACCAGTGGCTTACCATGCCGTCAGAAATGACGTACTGCACGAATTACGCTCCCACAGGAACCATCCTGAGTTGCACACTCTGGTTTATGTACTCTTGCCGAAATCTATACAGCAGTTTGAATTTTGTTTGATGCCTGGAATACATCAATTTACCTTCCTAGGTACTTCACATTGATTCATTATCGAATATCTAATGGTTTGTGTATGAACCACATAGCTGGCTGTACGTCTTGAGGAAATGAAGAAAACTTATGGGGCCAATTTCGAGAAGCACCCCGCGTGTACCGATATTTGCGTTCCAAACCAAATGAGATTTCTATTTTTGAAAGGATTGGGAGAACTTCAAATTCACAGGATCAGTCGGAGAAGTGAACCGCCTGAAAAGAGAAAAAAACGCCAACCCCACCAGAACTCGAACCCGGGACCTTGCTTGTCATGAGCATTGCTCTAACCACTGAGCTATGGGACTAGGCTGAACAAGTGTTTCACTCCAAAGGCGGCTCAAAACACGTGCCACACATACTGATGGCACTTGGGTCTTTTCCCTCCCCCAGGGGACAAACCATGGTCAGTTTCTGGAAACTACCAGAGGTGAAAGAAATTGATTAATTTTTGAAAGTATTGGGAGAACTTCAAATTTAAAGGATCAGTCGGTTAAGTGAACCGGAGTGAAAAACTACAGAAAGAATAAAAGAAACAAATTGGTTGTACGCTGCAAGGCTTCTTTTATTCTTCGCTTTGAAGCCCTTCTTGGTACAAAAGCCAGCATCTATCACACAGTAGGACACCAGGTCGACATTTTACACAGGAGCAACCGTCTTGAATCCACCCAGTGAGTCATGCATTGGGTTGTACCCTTGTCCGCAAATATCGTTACTTGATCGAGCTTCGAGACTCGGCACTTGTGCTTCACTAGCTGCACCTGCGGCAACAGCAGCAGCAGCAGCAGTCTGCGATTGTTCCAAGCAGTTCATACTCGCAGGATTCAACTACAAACTATCCCGGCCGACATCTCAATCGAAACAAGAGCAAGAAATAATGCCAAAAAGCCACTCACGTCACTCTTCTTTGATGTAGCTTTGATGTTTGTTTGTTTATTTTACTTCACCAAGTGAACAGGCATGTCTGCCTTCTCACCAGGTCCGGAGACCTAGTTCCAACAAAATGATGAAGAGTAAAATGAAAATGTGTGTATAAAATGATTAAAATCATGCAGACGTCATAATTATATTTATCTCAATTCAGCTTTTGAAAAAAAAGATGTGTAAGATGATTAAGGATGATTAAGGATGAAAAATCGAGCTTGGGTCGTGCTGAGGTCGTATATATAATAATTATGACAGAAAGAACACACGAAGAAAGGGAGAAAATGAGTGAGAGTGAGGGGGAGAGAGAAAGAGAGAATGAGAAAGAGAGAGATAGATAGATAGATAGAGGGAGAGAGAGAGAGAGAGAGAGAGAGAGAGAGAGATGTTCTTACTTTGCTGCCTCAGCCTGCCTGTGCACCAACATGGCCGCCCACCCTGCAATTACGTCAGGACACTCGGGGTCTGCGCTGCTTCGGCGGGATGTGCAACCATTCGACAAGGCGGTAAATACGCGCCTGCCCACACATGCTCTCTAGGCTGCAGCGTTTTGGCATGGAGACTAGGCGCCAAGCGCGAACCGATGGGAGCGTGTATGGGCAAGCGTGTACTTACGTATTTACAACCACAGCAATAGACCATAATTACAGCTGCAGTGGTGTCGACAACTTCATTCTCCCGGGAGCATATGGACTAACGAAAAACCAGAACCCCGCAGCAATCAATCATAATTACAGCTGCAGTGGTGTCGACAACTTAATTCTCCCGGGAGCATAAGGACTAACAAAAACCCAGAACCCCGCAGCAATCAATCATAATTACAGCTGCAGTGGTGTCGACAACTTCATTCTCCAGGGAGCATAAGGACTAACAAAAACCCAGAACCCCGCAGCAATCAATCATAATTACAGCTGCAGTGGTGTCGACAACTTCATTCTCCCAGGAGCATAAGGACTAACAAAAACCCAGAACCCAGCAGCACTGACTGAACAGGTCATTATTCTTACCTTTAGCACAGATTATGGAATATTCTTGGCCAGTTAGGCCTGGAATGGATTCAGGATCACTAGCTTTTGCAAAACCATGTTCATCGCGATGGATCCAAGCCGGAGATATGCCAAGTTTCTTGACAAAGAACGAAAGACACTCCTTGATCTCAAGCAAAGGAAGTTTCATTTTTTGTACTCCACATAGATAGTCGGCAGCATCGTAGGTGCTCCGGGTTCCGTTTATAATGTAGTAAAGATCATAGTTTTGACATTCGTGCTTCACAGTACCTGACAGGGGAGACCAGGGGCGCTCTGTGTGGACAAATATAAACAGCAGCAGGAAAGCCAGTCCACACACGAAACAGACCATACTGAAAAAAACTTTCTGAAGGCTTATCAAATTATTACAGTCATGGTTAGCTGAAGCATAACTCACTCCCATGTGTTTCACTTCTTCTTCTTTTTTTATTCAAAATATGACTTCAATTCACGCAGCTTCGTTACAGCAACTTGTATTGTGGCAACACTGGGCAACACTCAGATGCACTGCTTCTTAACGTAGCTGAACAAATCTTCACGCAGCTGAACAATTCTCCACGCAGCTGAACAATTCTTCACACAGCTGAACAAGTCTTCACGCAGCTGAACAATTCTTCACGCAGCTGAACAATTCTTCACGTAGCTGAACAATTCTTCACGCAGCTGAACAATTCTTCTATATGTTATAAAGTAAAATACACAGTCGCAGCAAAGCTGACTGAAGCCATACTGACGTTCAATAGCATGGTGGTCACCTACTTCACGTCTTGAGTGCCCAAGGCTGTAATGAACAAATGAGTTTATTTTAATTATTAATCTCCATTAAGGTTGAAATGACAACAAAGAATGAGCAACCGAAACGGAAGCAGCATTCTAGATGGTTGATCAGAGCCCGATCGCAAATATTTACTCACTTTTCAAGCAGATGTTACGCCGAGTCTGCG